TAATCAAGGAGAGAAGCTACCTAGAACTGAGGAGGAATTTCCTGACAGTTAGAACAATTAATCGGCGGAACAACTTGCCTCCAGAGGTTGTGAATGCTCCAACACTGGGAGTTTTTACGCTGCAACACGGACGGACAAGGTCCAGCTCCACTCACCGCATATAAAATCGGGCGAAGCCAACTGCAGTAAATAAATCTGCGGGATCCAATTGGTTAATCTCTTGTTCAGATTGAGCAGAAAAGGGATCAGCGGGGATTTAGAGGGGTCCTCGTAAAGATAATCAAGAGACTCCCGGTCCATCCTTACCATATGCTGGAACAGATTCTCCCCAGCCAGGGAATTATGGCCAGAATGGGGGGTGGGGGGTGGGGCATGATTTAATATCTCCATTTTGACCCAAAGGAGGTTCTCGGGAGCAGGCCAGGTCGCTCAAAGAAGGATGATGGGCGTTGTAGTCATGAGAAAGCTTCACGCCAGAGCAAACGCCGGGGGAAGAAAGCAAAAGAAAGGAAAAAGGTTCAGCTAACCCCCGTCGCTTTGGGGCAGCCTGTGGTATAAACCCAGCCAATCATGGCTTGTTAAGTCAACCACGGTTGAACAAGCTTGGTGGAGAAGCAGTGGAGGGAGGCCGTGGGAGAAGAATGTTAATTGAAGCCAAAAAATAAAGTGATTTTTTTTTCTCCCCCCATTATTTCAATCTCAGAAAAATCTAAATCTCAGTGCAGGTTTTTAAGGGTTCTCGGTGCAATATTTGCTAAATGTTTTTAATGTCCTTACTGTTTCATGCTGTGTTTTTATGTTGTGGTAAGCCACCCAGAATCGCTTGACAGTGAAATGGGCGAGTTCTACATTTAACCAATCAGTTAATTAATTGGTCCACTAGTCCGAAGAAGGACCAGGGGAGACATGATAGCAGTGTTGCAATATCTCAGGGGCTGCCCCAAAGAAGAGGGAGTCAAAACTATTCTCCAAAGCCCCTGAGGGCAGAACAAGAAGCAATGGGTGGAAACTAATCAAGGAGAGAAGCAACTTAAAGCTAAGGAGGAATTTCCTGACAGTTAGAACAATTAATCAGTGGAACAACCTGCCNCCTCCCTCCCACTGATCCATCCAGGCTTCTGAATGGGAAGTGACAAGGCCAGGAGGAAAATTTGTGAACGAGGAAGGGGTGGGAGTCACAAAACAACCCCCCCCCAATTCATTCAAAGATCTGCAGGAGGGTGCAGGACAGAGGTCAAGGAGAAGGCCAGCCATGGAAATCCAAGGGAGAAGAAAAAAAAAACACCTTTGAATAAATCAAAGTGAAAAGTAATGATTCACTTCTGGTGAAATCCCCCCTTTTCACAGGGGAAATGGCCTTCCTGAGATAACACAATTAACACAAAAGCACAATGGGTTACTTAGCGGGGCAGAGGGATGGCGAGTTCCCCTCCTCCGTTGGTGGCCGTCGGTCAGGAGCCTCGCAAAGTCTTGATTTTTACAAAAATTAAGGAATGGTTTCTCACTTCTTGCCGGCTTCACGGCTGCTCCTCCGTTCTGTGCCCTCTGAAGGGGTTGCAAGGAGAGGACCAGCCTTGGAAGAGGGTTCAAACGTTTCTTTCTCCAGCAATCCGACTCCTTGAAGGTTGTAATTCTCAGGAATCTGGCAAGAGGAAGAGAAATCTGGCTAAGAGGATCTCAACTTCATTGGCGCTTTGTGCATTTGTCTGAAATGGGAAAACCTTCTTCTTACAGCGTGCGCACGCTGCCCACTCAGTCTCCCTGCCCACCTGCGCATGTGCACGCAACAACACCCCCTAACATGCTCGCGTTACCCCTCCCTAGGCTCCGGAGGCTTTCCTGAAGACTGGGGGGGGGGCACAAACAGCCTCCCCTGCCAACCCTCCGGAAGGGCAGTGACGGCTGGCATGCCGCTAAATATGGTTCTGCATGCCACGCGTGGCACAAGTACCATCGCTTTGCCATCACGGGTATAGGGCCTCCTGCCTGAGCAGGGGGTTGGACTAGAACGAGGGTCCCCAGCATTTCGGACCTCAGGGACCACTAAATTCATAATTTTAAATCCCGCGAACCACCAACATAGCAATAGCAATAGCAGTTAGACTTATATGCCGCTTCATAGGGCTTTCAGCCCTCTCTAAGCGGTTTTACAGAGTCAGCATATCGCCCCCAACAACAATCCGGGT